TTGTCGTTCCTTCCTGTCCCGGCTCAAAGTTGTATTAACACAAACTTCTGAAACTGTCTTCTGTAACGAGCAGCTGTAGCACTGAAATGTTGATTGTTCTGGTTTGAAACAGCGGTAAATGTTTCTGAGACCAAGCCCAGAATTCCCGAGGTGTTGCAGTGCTTCTATTAACTGTTCTCTAGGGACTGGATAACCCTGAGGCTGATCAAAGACTTTTTTAAACACAAAGCATAATTATGATTACCAAGGGCAAGAAGGCATAGTTAATAAAGTATTTAAGGATGTTGTCCTTGTGTTGGGGGTTTGCACACCTGGTTGAACATGGGGAGAGGTAGGAGTAGATGAGCAGGAAGTTTCCCTGGCTGTTTAGCTTCAATTTGTCCAAGTCTTTGAGTACTCGAGGATCTGCATGTTCACCGGAGGTTTCTCTTGGTCTAGCTATGACCATTTTGGTACTTGTCATTACTCTGTTCCGCCTTTGAACTAGATCTCCAACATCGTTTTTCGGAAGGATCTTGTAAAGTGTGTTTGGGTCCTGGTTCAGCGGGATGTTTGTGGCCAGAAAGTACTGGCCTGTTATCCGTACCTGTTGAAGGAGAAAGATGCACAAACTGTAACAAAACAAAACAAAGCTGCTGAGAGACTAGAAGGAGTTTAAGCTGAAGGTTTGTCCATGTGTGCAACAAAGTTCTTCACTCCAGAAAGTCTCATAGATGCCCGTCAGATCATAAACTCTGACTGTGAAAGCACCAACAGATCTTATACTCTTTATGTTTTTATTCTGTCCTCAGTGTGAGGGACTGTACACACTGACAGATGGCTAACAGGCTTCAAGAGAAAGTCAGAGGCTGGAGTAAAGTTCAAGGCTCTTTACTGTTGTCGTAATTCTCATGAAGGAATTTTGTAAAACTGAAATGATACAGAAAGAGAGCATCAATCACTGAATGCTATTCAAACATGTTATACATCACCAGACATAAAATAATCTACAGCTAAGCTACAAAGTTGTAACATAAACATATTACATCCAGCTTTACGTTCAAGCTGGTAACTTGTAAATATAGTACGTGCAGCTCTATGGAGGACCGATCCTGACAAATTCAGAAATAAATACAGAAATAAATAAATGCTCAATAAATAAATAAGCATCCGATTAAATTAAGTAAATAAATAAATGTAGGCAGTAATTAAATTATACAAGGAGACATAAATGTATATATCTATTTTAATTAGCTTCTTTACTTATTCACCTTTGTAATAATTACCTTATTTATTTATTGTCCGTTATAATCTTCAACTTTATTTATTAATTACTTCTTTTTTAAATATATTTATTTATGTGTGTGTTAATATTTCTGTCTGTTTTATTCTTCCGTTGCATTTTCTACCCTATTTATTTCCCCAGTGGTATTTATTTCTGTCTGTCCTTTTTACATTTCTCTATGCATTTCTGCCTTGTTATGCAAATGAGGAGGGGCGGGGTCTCAAGGGGTGAACTTCTCCCCTATTGGTGGACCAGTCAGATGGAAGAGCTCTAGGCCTTCTCTGCTTGCACACAGTCAGATGGCTTCCTTCAGTGCGCTGAGGTGTTTAGCAACTCTGTTTGAAGACACTACCAGCCATGTCTTTCATGTGGACACTCTGACAGACAGTGTTTTCAGTTTGCTTATTTATTTATTGAGCATTTATTTATTTCTGTATTTATTTCTGAATTTGTCAGGATCAGTCCTCCATAGAGCTCAACTGCTAAAACTAACATAAACTATGGGCGACCTCTTCACAGAAAGGCTATACAATAATACAATAGCTAGTTTAACGTTGGCAGTTTCACATGTAAACAAATATTCAAGTAACATCACAGAATGTCTTACATGACACTTGTGTATCAATGTAATTAACTATAAATTAAAATACAAATTACAAGTGATGCTTTCCCAAGGCCCAAGCAGAATGGGAAAAGGATAAGGTGACTGGAGCTGCAAGCTGAACGCACGGCATGTAGCTACTAATGTATTTCCTGATCAGACTGCATCATGTGACAAAATCAACCAATTAAAACAATGTAAGAATTATATATGAACATAATGAATTACCCCCAGATGACCACTAGGGGGAGAAAAAATTAAATGCAAAGTTCTTACAGAACACGACAGTTCTAACATTTCTGTCCTCAGAAGTTCACCAGCTAAATTAAAAACCGAACAACACCAGCACCATAAACACAGTACGTCCCCGTAAACCCAGGAAAAGAAAGATCGCAGAGAGCTGACCAGCAATGAAAGTCAATCAGCTCTTCTGAGTGTGAACAAAACTGTGTTTTCAGGTGAAATTAACAATAATTTACAACTGATCAGAATGTAAATAGTTGCATAGGATGGTTAATGTCATACAATACAAAATTATAAGCGTGATTAGGCCACGACGCTGTTTAATATGTGATGTCTGGCTGCAAATATAAAGTAAACTAGACAAAGACATCAAAAAAAGCATAGGGGACGTCAGATTATATCATTATGTCAAAGTACATTAACTTAAAGTCTGGAACTCTGAGTGTATTTTCTCTTTAAAAAGACAATTAATTAATTAATTAACAGACTCTCTCAAAAGATCTACAGTAGATATATTATTATTATTATTATATAAGAGTAAAAACTGAATTTTAAGTTTCGCGTTCTGTCGTTTCTTTTTCTCCGTTACTTTTCCTGATGTGTTGGATTTTTGGGTATCGACATATTTAGGCAGGTATCGTATCGAAGTCATAAGTTTGCTATCGACAAAAGTCCGGCTTCACAGAGTCACATCAGACTGCCGTTTCTGTCAAGTTCACCTCCGTTGTTTGAACTTTTGTATGTGGAGGCAGATATTTCCAAACCTGGAGACAACGTATTTCTCTTAAAGCTCTGTAAAAACTGTTCTATTAACATTCATGCCAATAAAGCAAATTTGAATTGAATTGACATAAAACTATCTGACTGGACAGATTAAAGGGACCAGAGCTAATGAGGATTTTTACATTTTTAGTTAACGGACACGTATATATAAAATACAGTCCCACTGTGAGTTTACTCACTGACTCCTGACGTGCGTTGTGATGGCCTCTACAATCCCAGCCAGCCAGTTCACGTCCACATCAGCCAAATTGGTCCCAGCTGAGAGCAGGAACACCAGCATCATCCAGGGCAGGAGATTCATCTGAACAGCAGAACATCAGTGTTTAGTTGACCTCCCAGTTAATCAGTTCAACTCCTAAATGATCGAAAAGTTTCTCACCTTCACTGCTGTTTCCAACAAGCTGCTCGTCTCCAACAAGCTGCAACAGGAAAGATTCAAAACTAAATGAACCTGCAGCAAAGTGAAACCAGGTTCTGGACGGAATTCAGCTCTGGACAAACTGCTGTTGGTGGTTTATTTACCTGCTCAGGTGGAGGAAGCTTTCTGCTGTCTTCAGCTGTACAAGTGGAGGCGGTGATGCTGTTTGCAGTAATTTATAGGGGGGAGGGGGGCAGGACAGGCAGTCCTCAGCTTAATCAAGACATTTAAAAATGGGGAAGAAAGAAAAGATGTTATCACACATCTGAAACCTCCCTGTCCACTTATTAATCCATAAAACTAGATCTTAATGAATATGAGAAATGTTTTTTGTTTGGCATCTTCCTTGTTTTACATTTTCTACGCAAATGAAGACTGCAGTGAGTTGAACCAGTTTAGAAACTGGACTCTACAACTACTAGCATGTAAAATGGTATAAAAGTGGATTTTTATCTAGATCTAGATTTCTGATTATGTTTATTTTGAATTTATGTAAAAGAACATCCGACAAGAAAATGAAATCAAGTAGACAAAATACAGTGATTAGAATAACACAATAAAATGTTTTTTAATTAATTAACAATAGTTGCAGCCAAAGACTTTTTAACTCTTGTCAATTTGCCTGGTGTGCCAGATTACCAGTCCAGCCCTGATCAGCTTATAAACCTCCTCAGGTCAAAAGTCCAAGGCCTAGAGAGGTCTTGGGACTAGTTTCTGAGGATTTGCTGCAGAGGTCTCCATTTCATATCAAGTTTTTATTTAAAGGCGCATCATGGAGTTTCCAGCGGCCACTAGCGGTGCGGTTCTAAGATTGCTACCAGGCGTGTGCTCGTACGTGTGTCTGGAACTCATGAGCCAGCAGAATCCGAAACACAACCGCTTTCATACAGAAATGCTGCAGGAACAGCAGCATGCAGGCTGTGGCTTTTCACTCAGACATGTTCAGGCTCTGTTACTTCAACGTTCCCGTCTCAGAGGCGGATCAACACGGCGGCGTACCTTTAATTCAGCGCAGCGAGCCGCACATCGGCTCAATCCTCCCAGGTGGAGAAGCCGTGTACCTGAGTATCATTAAAACCACAGTAAACCTAAACTGAACATTACGAAGCAAACAGCGGCAGGTCTGAGCTACTGTAGCGTTAGCTGGCTGTTCATGGCTGCATCACTATAGGCTAACGATAGTAAACAAATCGGTCCACATTTACTTTTCACCGTTACATCTTTTCAGGCTAAACCAACAGTGGTACACAGGATAGTAACATGGGTCATGTTAGTTGGTGAAGTAATGTGGAAAGAGATAGAACTTTGCACCGGATAACTCTAGCAACCTCTCGGCATTAGCTGGCGAGCTAATGTGACTTTCTCTGTTTCTCCAGCTTTACTGATGCTCACTTTGTTCTTACTCGACATCATCTGAACCTGTTTGGTCTGATGGGCTTCAGCACATAAACCTTTACTGCTGTTTTGGATCCTTACGTGGAGCCCGTGTTTTACTGTGAGCCGGTTGTTTTATGGTGCGGACTGCATGTCGTTAGCTGCCGTGTTGTTGCTGTAGTCTGAGCGCTCGGGAGACCTCACATTTAAAGCAGAATAGTGTCTGATGGAAGCAACAGAGAAAACAGGCGTGGGCTTAATTTCTAAGTGGGTTTTGAGCCCACTGACAATAAGACAATAAACATTTAATGATTTTCATTGAAAAACTTACATATAGCCCCCTTAAGGTGATGAAGACAAACTGTGATCAGTGTGTTGAAATGTTGAACTTGTGTTGTGTTGAACAGAGATAAGATCAAACTTCTGCTGCCTGGATGACCGACACTTTCACCTGAAACCAACTGCTGTGCTTACAAAGAGGTTTCATCATCTGCCAGCGAGGGTCAAACGTCAGAGACCTGGTTTCAGAGGTCTGGGGACTGGTTTCAGAGGTCAGAGAACTGGTTTCAGAGGTCTGGGGACTGGTTTCAGAGGTCAGAGAACTGGTTTCAGAGGTCAGAGAACTGGTTTCAGAGGTCTGGGGACTGGTTTCAGAGGTCAGAGAACTGGTTTCAGAGGTCTGGGGACTGGTTTCAGAGGTCAGAGGCCTGGTTTCAGAGGTCTGGGGACTGGTTTCAGAGGTCAGAGGCCTGGTTTCAGAGGTCTGGGGACTGGTTTCAGAGGTCAGAGAACTGGTTTCAGAGGTCAGAGAACTGGTTTCAGAGGTCAGAGGGCTGGTTTCAGAGGTCTGGGGACTGGTTTCAGAGGTCAGAGGACTGGTTTCAGAGTCAGAGGCCTGGTTTCAGAGATCAGAGGTCAGAGGCTGGTTTCAGAGGTCAGAGACTGGTTTCAGAGGTCAGAGGCTGGTTTCAGAGGTCAGAGGGCTGGTTTCAGAGGTCAGAGGGCTGGTTTCAGAGTCAGAGGCCTGGTTTTAGAGGTCAGAGGGCTGGTTTCAGAGGTCAGAGGCTGGTTTCAGAGTCAGAGGTCAGAGGGCTGGTTTCAGAGGTCAGAGGCCTGGTTTTAGAGGTCAGAGGGCTGGTTTCAGAGGTCAGAGGGCTGGTTTCAGAGGTCAGAGGCCTGGTTTCAGAGGTCAGAGGGCTGGTTTCAGAGGTCAGAGGCTGGTTTCAGAGGTCAGAGGCCTGGTTTCAGAGGTCAGAGGGCTGGTTTCAGAGGTCAGAGACCTGGTTTCAGAGGTCAGAGGGCTGGTTTCAGAGGTCAGAGGGCTGGTTTCAGAGGTCAGAGACCTGGTTTCAGAGGTCAGAGGGCTGGTTTTAGAGGTCAGAGGGCTGGTTTCAGAGGTCAGAGGCCTGGTTTCAGAGATCAGAGGTCAGAGGGCTGGTTTCAGAGGTCAGAGACCTGGTTTCAGAGGTCAGAGGGCTGGTTTCAGAGATCAGAGGCCTGGTTTCAGAGATCAGAGGCCTGGTTTCAGAGATCAGAGGTCAGAGGCCTGGTTTCAGAGGTCAGAGGTCAGAGGCCTGGTTTCAGAGGTCAGAGGCCTGGTTTCAGAGTTCAGAGGCCTGGTTTTAGAGGTCAGAGGCCTGGTTTCAGAGGTCAGAGGCCTGGTTTAGAGGTCAAGGCTGGTTTTAGAGGTCAGAGGGCTGGTTTTAGAGGTCAGAGGGCTGGTTTTAGAGATCAGAAGTCAGAGGCCTGGTTTTAGAGGTCAGAGGGCTGGTTTTAGAGATCAGAGGCTGGTTTTAGAGATCAGAGGCCTGGTTTTAGAGATCAAAGTTCAGAGGCCTTATTTCAAAGGTCAGAGGCCTGGTTTTAGAGGTCAGAGGGCTGGTTTTAGAGATCAAAGTTCAGAGGCCTTATTTCAAAGGTCAGAAGCCTGGTTTTAGAGGTCAGAGGGCTGGTTTCAGAGGTCAGAGGGCTGGTTTCAGAGATCAGAGGTCAGAGGGCTGGTTTCAGAGGTCAGAGACCTGGTTTCAGAGGTCAGAGGGCTGGTTTCAGAGGTCAGAGGGCTGGTTTTAGAGATCAGAAGTCAGAGGCCTGGTTTTAGAGGTCAGAGGGCTGGTTTTAGAGATCAGAAGTCAGAGGCCTGGTTTTAGAGGTCAGAGGGCTGGTTTTAGAGGTCAGAGGTCAGAGGCCTGGTTTTAGAGGTCAGAGGGCTGGTTTTAGAGGTCAGAGGGCTGGTTTTAGAGGTCAGAAGTCAGAGGCCTGGTTTTAGAGGTCAGAGGGCTGGTTTTAGAGGTCAGAGGTCAGAGGCCTGGTTTTAGAGGTCAGAGGGCTGGTTTTAGAGGTCAGAAGTCAGAGGCCTGGTTTTAGAGGTCAGAGGGCTGGTTTTAGAGGTCAGAGGTCAGAGGCCTGGTTTCAGAGGTCAGAGGCCTGGTTTTAGAGGTCAGAAGTCAGAGGCCTGGTTTTAGAGGTCAGAAGTCAGAGGCCTGGTTTTAGAGGTCAGAGGCCTGGTTTTAGAGATCAGAAGTCAGAGGCCTGGTTTCAGAGGTCAGAGGCCTGGTTTTAGAGGTCAGAGGGCTGGTTTCAGAGGTCAGAGGCCTGGTTTTAGAGGTCAGAGGCCTGGTTTTAGAGGTCAGAAGTCAGAGGCCTGGTTTTAGAGGTCAGAGGCCTGGTTTTAGAGATCAGAAGTCAGAGGCCTGGTTTCAGAGGTCAGAGGCCTGGTTTCAGAGGTCAGAGGCCTGGTTTCAGAGGTCAGAGGCCTGGTTTCAGAGATCAGAGGTCAGAGGGCTGGTTTCAGAGGTCAGAGGTCAGAGGCCTGGTTTTAGAGGTCAGAGGGCTGGTTTCAGAGGTCAGAGGCCTGGTTTCAGAGATCAGAGGTCAGAGGGCTGGTTTCAGAGGTCAGAGGGCTGGTTTCAGAGGTCAGAGGGCTGGTTTCAGAGGTCAGAGGGCTGGTTTCAGAGGTCAGAGGGCTGGTTTCAGAGGTCAGAGGGCTGGTTTCAGAGGTCAGAGGTCAGAGGGCTGGTTTCAGAGGTCAGAGACCTGGTTTCAGAGATCAGAGGCCTGGTTTCAGAGATCAGAGGTCAGAGGCCTGGTTTCAGAGATCAGAGGTCAGAGGCCTGGTTTCAGAGGTCAGAGGCCTGGTTTCAGAGGTCAGAGGCCTGGTTTCAGAGTTCAGAGGCCTGGTTTCAGAGGTCAGAGGCCTGGTTTTAGAGGTCAGAGGCCTGGTTTAAGAGGTCAAAGGCCTGGTTTTAGAGGTCAGAGGGCTGGTTTTAGAGATCAGAAGTCAGAGGCCTGGTTTTAGAGGTCAGAGGGCTGGTTTCAGAGATCAGAGGCCTGGTTTTAGAGATCAAAGTTCAGAGGCCTTATTTCAAAGGTCAGAAGCCTGGTTTTAGAGGTCAGAGGGCTGGTTTTAGAGATCAAAGTTCAGAGGCCTTATTTCAAAGGTCAGAGGCCTGGTTTTAGAGGTCAGAGGGCTGGTTTTAGAGGTCAGAGGCCTGGTTTCAGAGGTCAGAGGCCTGGTTTTAGAGGTCAGAGGCCTGGTTTCAGAGGTCAGAAGTCAGAGGCCTGGTTTTAGAGGTCAGAGGGCTGGTTTTAGAGGTCAGAAGTCAGAGGCCTGGTTTTAGAGGTCAGAGGCCTGGTTTTAGAGATCAGAAGTCAGAGGCCTGGTTTTAGAGGTCAGAGGCCTGGTTTTAGAGATCAGAGGTCAGAGGGCTGGTTTCAGAGGTCAGAGGTCAGAGGCCTGGTTTCAGAGATCAGAGGTCAGAGGGCTGGTTTTAGAGGTCAGAGGGCTGGTTTCAGAGGTCAGAGACCTGGTTTCAGAGGTCAG